AGGAAGGGTTCTGTTTCAACTAAGCCTCGAATGTAATACTAATAGTTGTATAGTCCTGTAAAGCATTTCTCTAACTTAGCTATAGATTGACCGTAATCAACTACTGGTCTTGGTAAAGCTCGTTGACGATCTTGAAATTCCATGCCATCGTCACTACCACATCCAATGGTTGAATCTATGAAAAGTTCATATGGACTATCTAACTTTGGAAGTCCTTGATTTCTACGCTGAGCATTTATCCAATCTCTAAAAAGCATCGATATCTCCAAACTATTTTCTGGTAACGAATATCTGTGGTCTTCAATTTGAAATCTTGCCGCGCTGAAAGCTGCCTTTGAAGCTACTGATGATCCTTGAATTGCAGGCACATCCTTCACCATCCTACTAAGTTTTGGAAATTGAGTTCCACGATCCTTCCACCAGTTCAGTAGTTGTGGTATACCTTCCTCGTTTGTAATATTATCTGAACCATGTTCAAGATATTTAACAAATTCACATTTATTAGAAGAGTCAAGACCAAGTTTATGTTTCACTCTACCATGGGCACCTACTCGAGGCATAGACAGTTGAGGATTTTCAACATTATCTAAGGAATAATATTTATTATATGTTTCTTTAGCAAATAATTTTATACTATTTTGACATGTTACCAAATCAGGTTGTTCTTCTTGTTTAATATCTAAATTTTCATAAATGCATTCAATTAAAGCTTTTGCACCAGATTCTTTATATTTAGGGTTGAAAAGAATTGCAGTTAAATAAATTTGAGAGATAGAAAAAAATATTTCTTAAATTTTGTAATCATAACTTCAATAGCACTAGTAAATAATTCATTTTTTTTATATTCAGAAAAGAGAGATGAAATCTCACATATATGTATTAAAATTTAGGTAATAGTACGATAATACATTCCAGAAAATTTTTTAGTAGCAACATAAAATGATTTCAAAAATATTCTAAGTTCATTTACTTCATCCCAATCACTATCATTAAGTTTTAATTCGGGATAAGCATTATGACTATTAAATTGCATAGTAATAGGTTCTCTATATGTATAAACAAGTTCAAGCATATCATAAAAGAAATTCCATCTAGTTTTTACATGTTTCGGAACTTTTCTAGACGGAAGTTTACATGCATTACAAAGCTCTTTAAATTGATTAATTCTACTACTGCTATGCATATGAAAAATATAAAAAAAAAGCATTATCAACTTTATCACAACTATTTTCAAATAATTTCACATCGTCACTAACAATCAAATTTAATATATGCGCAACACATCTAACATGAAAAACATATTTACTAATAGGACAAATTCTAGGTTCTAGCATATTAATAGCATTTAAATTAGCAGAAACATTATCTAAAGTAATACTAATGAGTTTATCATAAAGACCGAAAAAATCTAAAATTTCTAACACAGTAATAGCAATATACATTCCAGTTTTTTTCTGTTGACAAATTTTATAACCGATAATTCTTTGTTGTAAATTCCAATTATAATCAATCCAATGCGCAGTAACAGTTAAATAATCAAAACAATTAGAACTACGACTCATATCAGTGGTAATAGCAACTCTACAATCCATTATTTCAAAATAGGCACACAAAAATTGACAATGTTTTTCTTGAAATTCAAAAATATCTCTTTTTACCATGCTTCTTGATAAACCTTTAAAACTAGAATTATATGTATCACAAATATATGCAATAAAACCCGGATGTTCTCCAAAACAAAAAGGTAAACCACAAACAACAACCATTTTTGCAATGCTCCAAAACAAAAAGGTAAACCACTTGGGTTCGAAGTATTTAATTCACCTTGAACCATATTTGATCCTCTAGCTGATGCTCCAATGCTAGAATCTTCACAAAACTTAGAGAAGATAAAAATGCAAACCACTCTTGACTATGTTTTTGAATCAAATGCTTTTTTAATCCCCCAATTGAACCTCCACTCCCACCAAATTTATATTTAAAATGTTGTTTACAAAGATTACATATACTAAAAGTTTTTCTTCATTCAAATAACAAAATTTCCACTCATTTGATTTTAAAGTACGTTGTACCTTGGTCTTACCTCTAGTTGGAACAATATGGGGACGATTAGTTCCAATCGGAGGATTGTCCTCCTGAGGTGGAACTTAAGTACTATTAAGGTCGGGAGTAGTCGGTGTATCATCTAAATCTTCTTCATCAATTTCTACATCTTCATTTTCTTGATAATTACCATAATGTCTTTTATAAACCTCTTCGGGAATTATAGGAGTATTCGAATTAATTTCTATAGGACCGGGACGAGAAAAACTAGTTTCATTCACATGAGTAAATTCATCAGTATTCATTCTAACAAGAGGATAATTAGGTTTAGAAGAACTAGAACCGTTTTTATATTTTGTAAACATATTTTTTACTCCGTGTACAATACCTTTCTTCCCTCTACTTTTTTTAGAAGACTCTATGATATAAAATTATAAATTATGAAATACAAAATTTAACAAGAACAAATAAAATATAACAAGAACAACTTACAAATAATAAATACAAAAAATAAATATAAGATTAGAGAGTGGAACGAAGTTACCAAACATTTGTGTAAAGAACATATGATTATAACCGAAAATTGAAAAATTGATGTCGAAACATGATGTTTGAAGAAGATTCCTACTCCAAAATTCACCAAATGATTATTGAAATCTTTACAATTACAAAATAATATGATTGAAATTTGGAACCTGAATATTGAAAGTATGAAACTTTGAGAAAGATTGAGAATTGAGAGAAATTGATGATTGTTAATTGTTAAATACTGTAAATTGTAATTAAAAATACAAAGAGAGAGAGTATATATAGTTTTTAGAAAGTGTGATTATGTGTTGGAATTGGAAAATATAGTTGTTGGGATGGAATATGGATTGGAGTCTGAAGACGTTGAAAATATTTTCGTTGGGGGCTGGGGCAGTCAACATTAGCCAGTGGGGAGTGGGGACTGGGGATGGCCGGATGGGATAGGTCGGCAGGGGGCAGGGGGCAGGGGGCATAAAATATAAATTAATTAATAAAAAATAATTAATCGAAATTGGACTGGACCGGAACAGAATCAAAATAAACCGATACCGGTACACCGATATCAAATTGTGATACCGTTCCATCCCATGTACCAGTTCACGGTGTCCCGTTCCGTCCCGAAGACTACCGGACCGAAACAAACCAGAACGATACCGGAACGGTACCGGAGCGGTACCGGTACAACCTGATCCGATGCCCCAGCCTTATTATCACCCTTATACTTGATCTTGCACTTGAGAAAATCATCACTACAACATTTTACGCTTTCAGCGTAAAGTGTGGCTTAAGCTATCAAAAAATGTGGCCATTAATAAAAGGCAACACATTTTGGGGGGTGGCCTAAAGAGGCATAACCTTTGACCTTAGGCTACACTTTTCAAGTGTTACCGTAGCAGCTACGCTTAAAAAGCGTGACCGATGAAGTACAAAGGCCACGCTTTGTAGCATCTCATTGGCAGCACTTTTATTTGATAAAACTACACTTTTTAGCGTGGCCTTTGCTTTTTTATTGGCCACAATTTAAAAGTGTAGCTTTTTATAACTCTTCAACGACAACACTTAAAAAGTGTAGCCTTTTCAAATGTACATACAACATTTTATAATCAATAAGCCACACAATTGGCATCCCTCTAGCAACACTTTTAAAGTGTGGCAACGTTGTCTAGAGTTTTTATAGCCACAATTTCTAATTGAAAAATAATAATTTTGGTTTGGATAGATTCACTAATAACATAATTGTATAATATGAAATGATCTCAAGCATCAAATTAGCTAATAAATAGTTCAATATATTGTTTTACAATAAACTTCGAAAAACATGTCTTGTACTACATACATAGAAAGGAATATTTTAAACAACTGTACTAGCAATAAATTTCAATATGTATTCAAACATATATAATAGTAGTTCAAAAACACTATTCTTCCCTCCAATATATTGAGTTGACTTGGGGCCATTATTCATCAAATTTGATGACCTGCATTTTCATACACATTCAAAAGAAAATTAAATATTAGAAAAAAAATTCACTCGACACTAGTCATGGTTAATCATCCTATGAGAGCATTGTAAAATATTTTCTTGATTAGAATATCTTCAATAATTTACAACAAGCAATGATTAGAAATTGATTCCCTCAAAGATAACATCTCGCATGCACATATTCAAACCATTCTAAAGCACCTTTCCTTTTTCTTTCTATTTCTATTGGGGATGGGGGTATAACAATGGTCCAACTGATCATAACCCTTCACAATAAATAAGGAAACAATAATTAACAAAGCTTGCACTCTTAACATATGGTGATTTTTATTAATTTTTTGCTTAGAATCTAGTTTGGCTCGGATGTAATTTAAGAAACTAATATGGTGACTTGTAGGGCCAGGGGAAAAGTGCCCAAACCTTCAACCATAGTTTTATTAAACAAGAGATGAGCATACGAACTCAAAATACAAATATAATCTTCATGATTAAGTACCTTAAGCAGAATCACAATACAGTTGAACACATTCTCGAGTACAAAAGAGCAGCTTCAACCAGCAAATGAGAAGGCAGTAAGCTGTCTGTTCAAAATTAGCTTCACATATATCAACTAAATGTCAAAAGCATTTTCAACTTAAGCAAGGAGAATTGAACCATTATTTTGATTTGAACGTATATAACCAAATTGCTGCCAGAAACAAATTGACTTGTATAGGAAGGTTAGAATTGGACTTACTTTATCCTCTGATAGCGGGTAACTCCCCTTAAAAACACAACTAGCTTTTGAGCCACGGAAGTTCAGGTACTTCGCGACATCTTTGACTTTTTGTGATGAATTCTAGTTAAAAGAAATCTACAGAAGTTATAAACCAGGTATAGCAAGAAGCCAAGAACAATGTGTAAAGATAAAGTATGTTATACGAGCTGAAAAACAAACGATTACTACCTTATAAAGGAATCTGCCTGAAGGATAAAATCTCATATAGAAATAGTAACACACCTATAATCAAAGAGAAGATGGCAATGTTATAAAATGCAATTAACACTAAATGCTATAGGATGCAAAGTGTAGAAAAGAAGCAATGAGAGGAAATTGAACACACTCATAGAGGTAAATACCGATTAGAATCCAATGTTTGCTCACGATAGCCCACAACTTATATCGACTCTTTCCAGATGAGGGCAACACCCTCTCTCAAGCAGAACATGTATTATTGCAGTAGCCCACCACTTGCTCTGTTTTCCGGAGTCCCAGGCAGAGCAAGTCTATTTGCAGTGTTTAGCTTCATCATATGCTTTACAGCTTTCAGTTTTCACTTTCAGTATCAACTATCTTCCTTAATGAAATTTACAAGGCAAAAGATAAATTAATGTATTGCATTATTTGCCTTCTCTTATAAGCACTATGCAGCATTTACCAGCACAGTTCACCTCTAAACATGCAACTCAAGAACTGTATGAAAATTTTAACTATGTGGAGAATAAGAATACACATACAATATAAACTGGATTAGTGATCTTCCACTCAGCTACTCCTGCACGAATATATGTGTTTCGACTGACATAAATACATGTGGAAAAGGTTAAATTAACACTTCTTAATACCTTCAAATATTTCAACTTAGACTTATAGATACAAATAAACCAATTCTTTTTATAGGCTACGGCAAAAACATCCTGATAAGAAAAGAATTAGTTCTCCTGCTCAGATGGCATAAGTAAATCCAAGATAAATGCCTTGGTATGTGGTCCATAGAGAAATTTATTTTGGAAAATACAGTCGATAAATCTCTACCAAATACACTATACCCAGCTTTATATCGGTGGATAATGGGCCCGCCCATCTACCCTTCTCCACTTAACTTCGTGAAAAACTTTATATCGTTAGCTTTTCAAAATATTGAATGCTCAATAGTAAAGCAACATTTTTCAAAAACTATATCTTACCATCCGTACGAAGCCTTGGTCTTAAAAGCAACATTTTTTCTCCATGAACCATCATACTTCAACTGAAGGACCTTATAGTTTTCTACCAATCCAGAAACTTCCAAAATAAGGCACATTGGTTAATGTTACTTACTAACCTCACTAGTGGCAATAGAATAACCAGAACCAGTGTCCCTGGTACCTGCCAAGTCTTTAGGCATGCAGTGCCCCAAAATAAGGGTTCCGAATTATGTACCTCCACTTTCGACAAACACAAGTTGACCTACCCAAGGTGTATAGGGTCATTTTAGACAAGATCTGCACATCATTAATCATGAAATCATAGTAATTTTCGGTTTCCACACCTTAGCTGTAAAGATTAGAAGGGAAGGCTGCAAAAGCTAAATTTTCAATTTAGAAACAATATATTTTTTTCTCAAGCAGACATCAAGACTTTATATTTGATTGCCTTAAGTTCCCTAGATATGTAACCTCAATTCACCCCTTGGAAGGAAACAACAAGAACTTTGGAGAGAGGAGGCGGGAGTGGGAGTGGGAGTGGAAGTGGGTTAAAGACTAATCCGGTAAATTATCAATGTAAACCAGCTAACCATCCAGAAAAAGAATCAAAGGGAACGGTCACATTTATGCTTGGCTGAAAAGCTCGACTTGAGTACTATAATGAGATCATAAAGTCCAACATTCCCCGTCTCCAAAGAATACAGAGATGACATCCAACTTTTCTACCAAAGATGCTCCTCAGAAGGATTAAAAGGGGGATAAAGGCTCAAGGCAGATGTTAAAATAGCAACGCCTGTCTCCGCGTAGAATCCATTAACTTTTTGCATGGGCATGAAATAGGGAATAACTAGATATCACCTCACCAGAAATGTGAAGTAACCCAAAACAACCACAAATACCTTACTTTCTGGTTGATATTTTCATTTGATTTATAGAAAAACATTGTTCATACTTCTGATACCTACAAATTAATTTAGCAAAATCAGCTCTGTTGTAAGTTTTATCAATATGCTTCAACTTCCTAGCGTAACAAAGCATTTCCAGCACTTGCCACATATTTACATGTTGATAAGAAAATTACAGAGGAAATTTATTGAAATCAACAAAAGCATACCTCAAAAAGCAGTTCATCATGTAGCACCTGGTGTATCAATGCAGGATCAAGAAACTGCTTGCTACTAGCACTTCCAAAATGAGCGACAGGTCTAACATTAATCCCATACAAATCTAAAAGAAAAAAATCAGGTGAGTTGACATTAGTCTTTTCTACACAACTTCATCAAAACCAAATGTCAATAAAAAGAATCCAAGAAATGATGAATATTTTATGCAGCTAGCAAATTGCGAGGAGCAATGTAATTGAAGCAAGCAATGACAAAGTACTAGGAAAATACCAAGCCATGACCTTTGAGGAAAAATGAACTGAGAATCTCTCAACTGTGCAGTAGTTTCGAGCTCCACAGCAAGTTCCACTATGTAATCTGCAAGATATGTGATACTCATCAGAAAGCTACTCCACCTTATGGCTAAACACTATGAAAGCTAAAAAAAAGAACATAAGTCATATAAACACCGAGTTTAATACTATATGTAACATAATGAAACTCAAATTTAGAAAATGTACAGATTATTTAGAACTCAAATTGCATCTAACAATTCAAAATCTCATAAAAACAAAAGAGTGTCATATAAATTATGATATTTGAATACCATCAATAGAGCAAACTGATGAACAGGAGAAGTTTGGCATTTATGAGCATGGTGATTGAATCTATCTTCGTCGTTACAACACATATCCACACCCGTAAATCCCCCAAGTATCCACACCTGTAATCCCCTAATTCCTCAAAACAATGTCTAAAGTCTTCAAACTATTTCTCTAGTTTCTCGAATGTAGGCAAACCAAGTATCGACTACCATAAATGTAACGACTCGGAAAAAAATGATAGGTTAAGCAAGAGCCTATGACTTTGTGTTGACTTTATAATGAGGTTCTATGAGGGGTTTATATGTAATTTCGTTTTAATTGTGTAACTCCGACAATTTAAAATGAATAAGAAGAAGCTTGAAATTGGAAGTAGTCACTTTTGGAAAAATTCAGAATCTGGAAATTTGGTTAAGTGTGGGAAATCAGTGAGTTTTTGGCCAACTTTGAGCAGTCATAACTCCTAGATCAGGATGATCCAGGAGTAGTTCTAGTTATGTTTGGAAAGCCCTTGGAACGATCTTTCCATATTATATATGAATGAGGCTATATGTAAAGTCCTATATGAAGCTATATGTGAAGGTATGATGTGAATAAGTTTTATGTGAAGCTATATGTGAAGGAATGATGTGAATGAGTTTTATGTGAAGCTATATGTGAAGGAATGATGTGAATGAGTTTTATGTGAAGCTATATGTGAAGGAATGATGTGAATGAGTTTTATGTGAAGCTATATGTGAAGGAATGATGTGAATGAGTTTTATGTGAAGCTATATGTGAAGGTATGATGTGAATGAGTTTTATGTGAAGCTATATGTGAAGGAATGATGTGAATGAGTTTTATGTGAAGCTATATGTGAAGGAATGATGTGAATGAGTTTTATGTGAAGCTATATGTGAAGGAATGATGTGAATGAGTTTTATGTGAAGCTATATGTGAAGGAATGATGTGAATGAGTTTTATGTGAAGCTATATGTGAAGGAATGATGTGAATGAGTTTTATGTGAAGCTATATGTGAAGGAATGATGTGAATGAGTTTTATGTGAAGCTATATGTGAAGGAATGATGTGAATGAGTTTTATGTGAAGCTATATGTGAAGGAATGATGTGAATGAGTTTTATGTGAAGCTATATGTGAAGGAATGATGTGAATGAGTTTTATGTGAAGCTATATGTGAAGGAATGATGTGAATGAGTTTTATGTGAAGCTATATGTGAAGGAATGATGTGAATGAGTTTTATGTGAAGCTATATGTGAAGGAATGATGTGAATGAGTTTTATGTGAAGCTATATGTGAAGGAATGATGTGAATGAGTTTTATGTGAAGCTATATGTGAAGGAATGATGTGAATGAGTTTTATGTGAAGCTATATGTGAAGGAATGGTGTGAATGAGTTTTATGTGATCTTGTGATGATCCTATGTAAAGTGGATAGCATTGTGAGTTAAAGTATGATTTCTCATGATGTATATATGAAATGATGTTGGATTATGAAGTATCCTTAAATGAAAATGTTGTGACTTGGTTGGTAGACTAAAGTGTCCCTCCTTGTTACTTAAAGTCTTGAATGCATGAATGTGTGAAATGGGCAAAACTAAGAAATGGTGCCCTTTCATAAGTCTAGCTTTCCTAAGTAAATGTAAAACCATGAAATCGGTAGACCTAATGGTGGTAGCCCTTCTCATGTGTGAAATGATGAACCTTGGATCGGTAGGCCTAAGGCACCCTTCTAGGGGGATTTAATGAGCTATCCTTATGAACCTTGATTGGCCATGACTAAGAAATGGGGCCTTTCTTGGGAAGAGGTACTATGAGTTGGTTGAACTAGAAAAGGAACCTTCTCTAAGTACATATGTGATTGAATACTCTATGGGAAACAAGGCTAGCACCGAGTGGATGTGGTTAGGAAGGTGGCCTAGTTGAGTATGAGATTAGGCACAATGAACTTCCTTGGACATCCCTTAACCATGTGCCTACATGGGTTGCTTACTAGTTCTACCTTTGGCAAGTAGAACAACCTCCACGGAGTAGGATAGACTCCGGATTCTATGCCTAGCTAGTATGGTCTATGTCGGTTATGCCTATTCCCATCATGTGGGATGTGCACTCTAGTTATTGGATAGGTTCTACAACGTGTAGGTAGTAGTATGGGATGCTATCTACACATGGCACGAGTAGGCTTTGAAGATACTAAAGTGAGTTCCCTAAGTCTAACGACTATTATGTGAAAGTCCCCTTATGTGCTTGAATGTCTCCAAAATGGTTTCTTAAAGAATGTTGGTCTATTGATGTTATGTTGTAAAGGAAATGTCCTTATCTAAGGTAATCTTGGGGAACACTTAAGTGTGCTTGAAGAGGTTGTATGGGCGGTCACTTCTTGTCTCACTCAAGTGTGTCTTAAGGTTATATTAGGTAGAGGTCCTATGGTAATGAAATGACATGTGTTCTTTTAAAGTTAAGCATGGGTTATATATGGACTTATGTTAAGTATATGTGTGCTTGGCTATGGTCTTATATGTTAATGTTGACTTGTATTATGCCTCTTATACTTGTAAAGGAAAGGTTTTATCAAAGGATATGAAAGCATTACTTCCTTGGAAATGTCCTTTTTGACATGTTTTTGCATGGTCTCCATACTTAGTACTTAATTGTGCTAACCCCTTTCTTTCCCTTTTTGAACTAAAGTGTAGGGATTTGGAGATGATGACATGTCATGGCTTTGATAGGTTTCTAAGTGTTGAAGATGAAGACTTGGTGAGTCCTCATAGATTCGAGGACAATACTCAATATGTTCTTTTATGTCTTTTAGTATTGTTTAAGTTGTGTACGGGATTAGTCCCGAAATTTGTGCTCTAAAGTATTAGATGGTTTTGAGACATCATGTATAAAGTCTAGAAAGTCTTCCGCTTGCTATTTTTAATTAAATGTCTTCTTTGTAAAGAAAGTTTTTAAATCCTTATGGTTTTTAGTGTCTATGCGATGAATGAATGCTAAGAGGCTTGTATTAGACCTCTTCGAGGTCGAGTACGCCGGTTACGACTAGGGGTGCTCCCGGGTCGTGACAATAAAATCCCTTCTTCCTCCAAATAATGTTGAAATTCTGTGATCTATTTCTCCAGTTTCTTGGATGAAGGTGAAGAAAAATTAGGGAAATCACCACGATACATCAATGTACCGAAAAATGTAGAGTGAAAATGAGATTTGAAAAATAACTAACTGGTTACAATGGAGAATTTATGAGTCAAAATGAGAAGAAGAAGAAGAAGAACGAAGTAGGGTTTTTAGGCGTGAGATTTGTGATATGGGCAAATAGCAACTCTTATTTTTATTTGGGGAACAAATTTGATTTTAGAGTTAAAAGTTGTTTATATTGATTTTTCTTTTAATTTATTTTGTATGAGTTCCTTTTTTGGCCAATTATAAATTAGAGGGAGAGTTAAATATGTTGGAGGGAATAAAATATCTTAGTGAAAATTTTAGGAAATCTATAAGGCCACACTTATAAAGTGTTGTTTTTTAAATTATAAAAATACCACACTTTAAAAGTGAATTCTTAGATGTTAATAAGCGTTGCCAATTATATCATGATATGACTACGCTTAAAAAATATAGCTTATACCATAAAAGAGCATGCTTGACAAATGTTGCTAATGTTACCGTGGTCAAAACCTAAAAACTAAGGCTACACTTTAAAAGTGTACCCAAAAATATTTAAGGCAACACTTTACGAGTGTTGTCCAGATTTAGTGTGGCTTTAGGCCTAAAATGTTGTAGTGCATACACCGTGCTTATTTGAAAACGTGCATTGTTAACCTTCGGAAGATCAAGAAAATATACGCATATGTTGCAGATCATACACCATGCTTATTTGAAAATAGTCTACTGATTCGATTTCTTCCAACATATGACTTGTCTGTTGCAATAGATGGACTATCTTTTGTAACAGATGCTCTATCTGTTGCAACAGATTAGCCATATGTTGGAAGAAATAAAAAAAGTTTTGTTACTGATTTGATTTCTTTAAACCTATGATCCATTTATTGCAACAAATAGGGCATTTATTGAAAATAACATAACAGTAAAATGTTTTTTCACAACACTAAAATACTTATTATCAATACTGCCTACAACACCAACAAAATCAAAAACACTAAAAACACCATATGATTTCACCAATTAAACAACATCAATCTCATGATTTTACCAATATACTAAGAACACCAACAAAATAAAGAATGGATGCAAAGAGATGGCCATCAAAAAATTGAGAATGCATTTGAAAATATAATTGATGCAAAGAGGACTCTTCGCGAGATCAAGCTTCTTTCTCACATTTGAAACTGCTAACGAATACATAAAGAGAAGACAACTCAAATTCTTCTTTTGCTATATAAATAAAAAGAAAAATATATGAAACTTGTTTCTCACATTTGAAACAACTAACGAAAACATAAAGAGAAGACAACTCAAGTTCTTCTTTTGGAAGAATTTCTAACTTACACTATTGACAAACTTATGGCCCCATGACAAACTCTTCTAATCTTCCTCCAATTGCAACATAACTACTTGTAAATTAGAACAACGAATAGTATATTAGCCAATAGTTCAATTTGGTTTAACCAATATATAGAAAACAATCATATATTAGCCAATAGTTCAGTTTGTCATGTACTTGTTGCTTTGGTCCAAAAATATTATAGCCACATGGATCTTATTCCATATATGTAGGAGTTTATAAGTAAAGAAGAATAAATCCCTTCTCTTTGCCGGAATTGTCGAAAGTAAAAACCATGTGAACTCTAGAAAATTGACTTTAGCATTGTTGTTGGAGGCAATAAATTATTTATGATGTCTTGATTATGTTTTTTTTTTTCATTCTTTCCAATAAAATCAAGAATACTGATGAGTACACAAATTGGACTCATTTAAGTTTATATTTTAATAGAAATAATATCCTCAAATGCTTATTTTATCTCAATATTTGATGAAAACCCCTAAGTTTAAGGTATTTGAAGATTGAAGGAAAGCATGGACACTACTTCGCAAAAAGGAACATAAAGGCTGAAAAGAACGACAAAATGAAGGCCTGAGGATCGCCGAGTCCACTTGGCGAATCGCCGAAGGGTCTCATTTCGCCTTTTGTTCCAGTGTGCTGAGCCTGAAGGAAAGGATCAAGTCGGCAGAACAAGGGAACAGTCAGCGCATCGCC